ATTCTTCCCTGTGATCTGGAATGCAGATTTGATAGCTGAAGCCTCGGCAGCCATGTTGGGCCCTGACTTGACCTTGGAGATGGAACACACAGGCTAAGATAGAAGAGCAAGGACAAAGGAAGTCTGGCTCTCATGGAGCTGCCTTCCTCTGAATTCTTTCTACATGAGACAGCAGTAAGTATTGTTTCATTACTATTATTTGAGGTTTACACTATATGCAGCTAAACCAAATGCCAACCAATTTAGAGAGGTAGCATGGTGTGGATTCACAAAGAGTTTAAATGATGGAGCCAGACCTGGATTTGAATCCTGGCTCTGCCAAATACAACCTGTGTTTTCTTCCATCAAAATGAGACCTATATTACAGGGTGGATAAAGGGATTGTAGCTATATTATAAGTAAGTACCTAGCATATGGTAAGTGTTCAGTAAATTGTGGCATTATTATCTGGGTTAGGTGGAAAATGTTTAAAATATCTTAGACCTACAAACAGAAAATACTAAAAGCCATAGTTCTGAGCAAAAATTCCTGCTCAAGTAGTGAAGACTGTGACAACTAGAAATAGGAAATCTTCTGGGGGATGAAATAAAAAAATTGAAATTACAAAAATTACTGAATTAGGTATATTTCAAATTAAATGCATCACCTTAACCAATATAATAGTCTGTAAGATGTTTGAAAAGCTAGCTTATGGGGACTTCCTCACCCATTATTCTACCCCTGTCAATTTATGTTAAAAGTCATACCATCTGCAATTTATTTACCATAATCAGAGTAATCATCAACCCGGGGACAGAGAAAAATATAAATGTTGTTTTGTTCTGTTCTGAAGAATACAGGTAACAGCTTTCATTTACTTTCACAGTTAATTAGTTTTGGCCTTAGGCCCAGACTGGAATCATCGGTTCTTTTTCCTTAGCTGTTTGCCAATAGGCCACAGAAACCACAAGAGGTGGAAGATAATGGTAAAAGACACACATGCTCTAGAGTCAACTCTTAGGCAAACTTTTTGAAAACTGAAAGTTAACAACAGAATAACAACAGCACAATGCTGACAGCAACACACTGACAAATGTCCCTCTAGACTTTTTCATCTTTCTAAATTTTTTGTCATGAAGACTAAACATATTTCTCCTGGTGATTCTGTGTTCAATAGCAAACTCTACTGGGGAGATATTTGTGACCCCAGGTCACTTTCTGATTGGTAACAGTTCCTCACACAGTCCACTTGGTTAAAAAGCTTAAATTACATCAGGCTTTAAGAGAAGCTGTTTTGCCTGCGGGCTGACTTATCATGATTGTGACACTACATGGATGAACAGAGCATAATTCATTCAATAAATATTTATGGAGTCTTACTAAGTAACAGGCACGGTGATAGTTTATTCTCCCTTCTAAATGGTGATCCTCCCTCCTGCTAACTGCAGACTCATACATTTCTTCAATCTTCTATTCAAACTTCATTTTACAGGTCCAGACATCTCTTAACAACATTTTACACAAGACACATGAGGGTTTCAAGCATGGCTGCTCCTGTCGACCACTGTGACCTGCTCTATCACTTTGGATGGGATGAAAGGGATCTTGCAAGAATAACAAAAATTCATTTGCAACTCCTCATTGACCTCCTTTCAACCTTTGACTCTAAGGACAGAAACTAGCTATGAGTAAAGCTTCATGACTGTAATATATGATTGTGTGTTCATAAATATGTACATACTACTGCGTGTGTGTGTGTGTGTCTGTGTGTCTGTCTGTGTGTGCCTTCACTTTCCTTACACAGGTTCATCTCTCATCTCTAAGGTCTATGACCTCAAACTCCACCTCACCTCACTCCTGAGCCAAGCCTGACTAAGGCTGTCTACACAGTCATGTATTTTTCCCTCCAGCTAATCAAAATAGGTTATACTGTCACCAACTTTGTACTCTGGAAAATCCCTGGATTTATGGAGGCTCCCCAAGGGAAACATGCCTTTGATCCCTGAAACAGAAACCCAGTATGTAACAATGCTTCCGCCTCTCTTTTTGCATGTGCACAAAGTTAACAACTGGAAACCGGAAATAAATCTGACCTGCTCCATTAGAAATTCTGTGATCCAGTCCAATCCTGCAGCCCTTCTGTCCAGGGTCCTGATTTTACTATGTTTCCAGTTCCTGTCTGGGGTGCTGTTCTTAACAGATGAATGGATTAACTGAGGACCTCCATTTCAATACTAGTGCCACTTGGAATCCTTGGCCAACCACAACTTCCTAGATTAGACATCTTTATGTAACAATGTCAAATTCATTGTGTTCTTTTGGACATTGCCAGTTAGGAGTCTAACCTTCCTCCCTGGGAAATGGCCCTAGAGTTCACTTTGTCCCTGCCACCATTGTCTGCCTGCTCTTTTTGTTAGACGTGAGAAAGAAGTTACAGCACGCTTGTCAGCTAAGTCCCCCTGAATTAAGACACTATATGTGGCACTATACTTATATTTACTACTGAATAGCTGTTATATATATAT